TGCATGTGCTGTTTCCTTTTCTTGAGGTGCATTCTTTTGCCTTCTTGGGAATGTCTTCCCTTCCCTTCTTAACCTAAAGAATACCTAGTCATGACCAAATTCAAATGCTTTGTTTTATGAAGTGTTCCTTAAATTCCTTATTAATTTCTCTTAAATAAAATGAATTATTTTATCTACTATGCTCCCGTAGAATCCTAGGCCCACTTTTATTGTACCAGCAGTTGAGTTCAACAAATGTGTTGTTTTCCTTTTGGGTTCCAGGGATTATGGTAAGTACAGGGGACCTATTGATGACTAGGATATGATTTTTGTTCTTTTTTTTTTTTTTTTTCCTTTTTGTCTTTTGTCGTGTCCGGCAACGGATCGCAACCCTCAGTGTCACACCTGTACCGGACTGGGACTGGCAACGGGATCGCAACCCTCAGTGTTGCGCCCGCACCTCGCTCAGCCAGTGAGCGGGAACCGGTCTGTATGTGGGATCCGAACCCTCGATGGGAGCGCCACCACGCTCCCGAGTGGCGCACTGCTACAGTGCGCCACCGGGCCGGCCCATGAGAAGTGTGCAGGCACTGTTAGAAATAGGTATTAAAATGGATAATCTCAATGCTGTGTGCTACGGACGCTCACAGAACTATGCTTAGGGAGTATAAAGTGTAAAAAAAGGGCTCTTCACCCAGATTTGGATGGGAGGGATTGAGATCATCCCTGGGCCAAATCTTGAAGGTAGGCAGAAATTAGTCAGGCCAAGATGGATATTGAAGCAAGGAATGGTTTTACTTATATCATGGAAATTGTTAACACTGGTGGTATTTTATTACTACCAAAGCAGACTTTAAAGTTCATTCAGCCTATCTGTCCAACACTAAGTATTGTCAGGAACTTGCCAATTAGCTATTAATTATACATTCTCATTGGCAATATTGCCCTCAAGGAGGCAAAAATTGGTTTGGGTGATAGCAAATAAAAAATTTATTCTTTTAATATATAAAGCACAGATACACAAACTGTATAAGCACAGATATATAAACAGATATGAAATCCATCTGTGGTATTAAAATTTCATGGAGGAGAATGGGAGTAGGGAAAAATACTCAAAAAGACCCCTTGGGGGGCAATAATCAAAAAAGGTTAAGAAATACTACTCTCAACGATTGTTGCAACTTCAGCAGCATTTGTTAGTTTTAATCCGGTACAGTGAGTCTTTTTGTTTAATGTAATTCTACTTAAGACTGTCTGAGAATTTGAGATTCAATTTGGCATTATTGCTTGTTTTGTCTTTGGTATCATATTGACTTTAGGAAAGCATGTCTAAACATAGAATAGAGCTATCCCCATGACTCAGAGGAATGATATTTTAGATGTAATACTCATATTTCATCTAAGGACTACAAATTATCCCAAAAGAATATTTCATCAATCCTCAAAGCAATCAATTTTATACAGAAACAGAAAAGAGCACTCTTGTGTTCTCCTAACCCCTCTCCATGTGGATTGTTCGAAATTCAGGCCCAGGAATTTTAATCTCAGAGTGGTAGAGTGCATCTGAAGTACATTTCTGGATGGCCATGGTTCTAAGATGGGCATTTGGTTGCTCAGGAACCTCCCGCACCCTAGTGTGTGAGGGATCTGGTGAACAAGCTACTCAGTTAAGACGAACACAGAATCAGTACTGGCCCCAGCATCATGCTTACCTACTCTGCATCTCATCTCTCAATGTCTGTTAAAAAATCATTCTTCCTGGGAAATGCACTAGTGTGATACTCTTTCCAAAGAGTGTCTGCCTTTTCTAAAGTGCAAAGATGATGCTGCATTCACAACAGAACTACTTCATCTGCTCTAGCAAGTCCAGAAAGGAAAGTAATGGAATTCAAATGTGAGTGGCTGCAAACACATTGCCCCTCAGCTGTCTTTCTAATGAACTTGAACACACTTGTGACTGTGTTCTGGGGATCCACACTTTTCCTTTTAAGATAGAATTCTCTTCTGGAACTGTTGTAGACCAAATTTCCCCACCTGCCATTCTATCCTGAAGGCGTTAGGTCTTTTAGATGTTGCTTTGTGTCCCACGGATTTGTCACCCCTTTTCCCCTGGTTGATGGAGCTGCCAAAGATTACTCAAAGCCCATCTCTTCTGAGCAGTGAGAAGCCCCAAAAAGGGGTTAATCTCGCAGAACCCTCCAGAGCAAGATGTTCATACCATTTGGGAAACTAACCATGAATTGGGGTTCTCTTCCCACATTTATTATCCAGACCAGGAAGTTACAAGAAGAGAGCATAGGTGGGGTTTTTGCTAAGTATAGTTAACAAGTTTAACAATAGGCATTCCATAATGCAATTTTCAAGAGGTTAAGTTGATCCACCAACAAAAGTTTGATCTTACAAAACACTCTGTTCTTACAGCAATTTCCAAGTATCTTTACATATCAATCAGTAACCTGTCTGTCTTTGAGCCAGCAACCTTGCTGTGTTACAATTCTTTATCTTACAACAGAGACTTTATAGCCTGGGGAAAATTTCCTGTCCTTTGCAAGGTCAATATCTGAAACTGCAAGGCTTTGGAAAACCAGGCCCTGTGAAGTACATTTGCTTTACGCACACTCCAGATTTAGAGCCATGTTATGCACTTTTAGAAGCAACAGGATCCTCCTTTATCCATGTCTAACAGGAAAATATATATGCTGAAAAATATGGATTAGATTAGTGTAGCCCAAGGCAGTTGACCCAGTTTTTGCTGGATGGGTTGAGTTTGTTTAGACTAGATATACTTTCTGAGATCTGGAGGAATTTACATACACTGCATTCCATTCTTCTACCTCACTCAACTCTTCTAGGTTTCCAAAAGGAGCATGGCTTCCTTCTTTCTTTGATTTTCATGACTGTCAACTCCAGATTTTCCTCCTACTTCTATACCTACTTCCTTCTCTTTTATCCAATCCACTTTTCTGTCTTCCCTTAAATGCTGCTAATCTTCAAATTTTCTCTCTTTTCTCCCTCCACAAAATCTTTCCAGGTGATCTTATCAAATCTCATAGCTCCAACTATTCTCTATATGTGATGGCTCCTGGCCAGCTCTCTGTCCTGATTAACAGACCTGTACTTAACTGCCACTTGAGAGTTCAGCTCATGTGTCCCAAAGTCACCTCAAAATCCACATGTCTCAGACTGGACTTGTCACCTTTGCTGGAAAACCATTGCTCCTATCTTTCCAAGGTTAGTGAATGATGCCAGAAGACTGCTAGAAATCTAGGCATAATGCATGGCCTCTTTCTCCCTTTCACCTCCATCCAGTGCCACAACTGATGTCATTTTATCTTCTCTGTCCCCTTAAAATATATCCACTGCAATGACTGCAACTCAAGTTCCCACTATCTCTGGTCTGGATTATTTCAATTGCCCCCTAATTGTTATTCCTGCCCCTCATCTTGCCCTCTCCCATTAATTTATCTACACTAAAGGGAAACTAATCTCGCTAAATCATAAATCTAATCATATTATTCCCCTGGTTCACAGCTTTCATTTGTTGTACATTCTCAAGGCTCCCTATCATCTGGTTCTTTCTTCTCTGTCCAACATCTTTCAAGACTTAAATATTGTTATACAACTTCTTCAAGGTTCTTAAACTCATTGTTCTCTCCTCTCCCTCTCTTTCCCTCCCTCTCCATGTTATTCAGGAATTTAATGTTCACCGTGTTTCCCTCACACATCCTTTATTAACACATTATCATCTTTCTGGCCCCATCTACTTATCCCTCTTATGATGGCAACCTCCCCCCCTGCCCTGCCCAAGTCATAGCAGGTTTTTCTCCAATGTGCTGTCATGAGATACTACACCTCACCATTATTATCACCTGTACTTGTCTGTCTGCATCCCGTGCTTCTGTCAATGAATGAAGAAATGCTTTCCTCTGCCTGAAAATGCATAATTCACCCTTCATCCCCCATTCCTCCCCTGCCCAGCGAAACCTTCCTAGCTCATTCACATTGAGCTCAAGGAGCTTTCTTCTGACACCCAGGCTGAGCCGGATGCTCATAGTAATGAATGAGCTCTCATGGTGACAATCCAGTCACATTACTCCTCTGCTCAAGATCCTTGCAAAGGCCTACAATGCCCTCCAGGATGGGCCCCCATTTCCTTGCAATCCCTCTGACTTCCTTTTTTGCTACTCTTTCCTTCCTTTCTCCAACCGTAGGCATGCCATTCTTTTAGGCAGTAGCTGGAATGTTTTCTCTAGATATCTACGTGACTAACTCTCTCGTCTCCTTCACTCCTTTGCACAAATGTCCCCTTATCCATGAGGCCTACTGATGCCTGTTTTAAGTTGCCATCTGCACCACTCTTCCCACCTGCCCTCTCCTAACCTCCTTTCTTTCCTCAATTTCTCCTTATTCCCCTCTATCAAACTACATAATTTACTTATGATCATTATCTATTGTCTATCTCTCCTTATGAGAATGTAAGCTCCTCAAGGGCAGATATTTTTATCAGTTTTGTTCACTCAAATTTTTCAAGTGCCTACATGTTCACCACCAAATTGTGAACTTTTTGAAGGCAGGGATTTTTGTGTTTGTGCCTATTTATACTATCTTAGCACATTTCCTGAAAGTAGCAGGGTCATAATAAGTGCTTTCTAAGTGCACATATCCATCTCACCACCACATAGCTTTGCAGGGTTTGCCATTGCACCATGCTACACCATGCCAAACCAGAAGACAAGTGCAAGGATGTTGTTTTCTTAGTGGAGAAGCTTCATTATAAACTGTCCCAGTTTCTGAGATCTCCATAGATGAAGAGTCCAATATGGACCAATATAGGCAATATTTCTCCTGCAGGGTTTCCTCAAAGGTTAAGAATTCACCATTGTTCATCTGGCCTTTCTCCTCCACCTGTACCTAAACTTGGAATATTTGTTTAATAAGTTAGAAGACTAAAGGGAAGCCTGAGAATTGTAGAGCTTGAAAACCTTGCCTGCTGTGACTTCTCTTTTTGTTTCCTTTCTCAGGGCTCTTCCTGCCATGATGCAGTGGGTGCGCATGCAGAAGCCAGGAGAGAGTGGCATCAACATTGTCACTGCTGATTTTGTAGAACTTGGTGACTTTATCAGCACCGTCATAAAGCTCAACTATGTCTTCGATGAAGGAGAAGCCAACACTTGATAGTACTGACTGGAGTGTCCATGAATAAGCTAGAGAAGACTCATTGTATTTGGCATATTATCCATAAACATTCTGATCTTCCTATTCCACCGAGTCTGAAGGGATTAGGGCTGGTACTGGGTGGGAAAAGGGGGAAAACCATTTCTTCAGTGATTATAAGCATACTCTGCATTACTGTAAACATTTCATTTCTCATCTGCTGAGCAAAATCTACTTATAGTGTTAGGTATAAAAAAAGGCTAGCGAATTTCATTTTTCAAAATTAGTCTTTGTATGGTACAACCCATGAGTGTCTACTTGGTTGTGTTTTCTAATTTCATCCTAGGGCTACTCCTCTGTCTGTATCCTCTAACCTTTCCACTCCCTCTCTTGCTTGCTCTTTTTAATCAGATGCTATATGGGACTGAAAGCATTTAAATGCCCAACATGATGTGTATTACGTTGTTGTACTAAAATTTATTTGTTTTGTGGGATTTGGTGTAATATTCTGTAGTCATCTGCAATTGGGCAATCATAGCTAACTTTAGATAATAGAAAATATGCATCAAATCAGTTTCCCTGCATTTGGTAATATCGGAGGCCATAATCAGTGATTTTTGTGTTATATGAAAATAATAGTGCTTCACAGTATTTCTATTTAAGGCAGCTGTAAACATAGAGTAAAAACCTTTTTGGAAGAAGTATGAGTGCCAACTCTACAGTGGAAAATGGCAGAGTGGGAGGCGATGGCTGCTACTTTAATTCAGCAATCTCTTAAATCATATTGCCCGCAAATGCCCAGTAAATGATAAACTATAACAAGTGTGTTAAAATCAGAAACTCTGAAAAGAATGCTTACAAACACCCTCCTAGCAATTCTCTTGATTTAAAAAAAAAAAAAAAAAAGGAAAGAAAAAAAAGACCATGCAAGCTTTCCTACCAAGTTAGGATTTACGAACATGTCATTCTAAATCCCAGATATGAGAAGCATTTTTCAAGAAGCTTCAAGTTTTTGACTTGAAGGGAGGAAAGAGGAAGAGGATCAGAAAGAGTTAAAGCAATATTTTTGAAAGCGTATCCACGAAATCAAAAGGACCCATGAAGTATGTTTGGGACATTCTTAAGATAGTGTGGTCTGGGCAGACAAGTTTAAAATTGGCACAGACTCATCATCACTTCTGGGTTCCATCCTCTCCTGGGGCAAGATTAAGGCAGAGGCAAAAGTTTCGCATGAAGGTTCCACGGCCCAACATTTGATAATCCAGGTCTACAGGAAAGAGCAGTGGTAACACAGCTTATCACTGCTTCCTTCTTGGCATCTCTGTGATATTTGACAACTCTAAAGCAGTCTTAAAAAGAGCACAATAACCCTTATTTATGTGCCTCATGGAATATTGTGAGGCATTTATAAAAATGTGTCAAATTTGCTGAAATTCTTATAATGATGAATTATTATATCTTTATATTTAGAAATAATCACACCTCAATAGTTTCCTGAGACAATACAGTCCATGCCACAAAGGGTCATAGAGAAATAAAAGCATACTCTCAGCTTTTAATTAGTTTAAATGTAGGACATGTGGGTTAATCTCTTAGTCCTACATAAGGGAACTGATTTCAAGGATATATGTCGAGATCACAAATACAACCATGAGTTGATTTCAAGGTTATAAACACTCATTATCAGAAGATAGTTCTTATCAGCAACTGCAGGGAGAGAATAGAAATTGTTTATACTGAAGACAATGTTCATGAGGAGTGTGTAGTTACCTGTGGTAGCCCGAGTAGCCTTCATATACACACAACAGATGTGTTTGTACATTCCAGTGGTGTGGACATATCTTGCCATGTGCAATATACCGACATATACCCACTCCTGTGCAGGCAGTCAGATATAAATATATACAAACACACACAGATATGGACAGATACAGTATACAAGTCTTCTTTTCAAATGAAGACACTGATAATATTAAATCATTTAATTTTAGAGCTGAAACCCTTAACAATGTGTGAAAAAGAATGTTAAAACCATTGAATTTAGAGCGGCTGATCACATGAAAATATTTTTGTAAAAATATTTTAGCTTGAGATTTAATTATTTACAAAATATAGTTCTTTTCTTCTTTTCACTTTCCCTTCCCTTGCAGTCTTGTTGTCTTTCTATCACTTTTACCTGCTCTTTATGTGCAACTGAATATAAATCCTTTTTGAAGGATGATGGATTACTGAAATTTATGTCCCATAAATTTGCTTTTTGGGCAGCTTTTCTGTCCAACTGACTATTCATTATTCATCCCTCAGGAGGATCTCTAGCCAAGCACACTTTCAATGACACAAGGATTTAATTTATAAATATAACAGAAAACAGGTCTTTTAACATACTAATGAAAAATAAATAAAATATAGAGGTAACTATGTTGTATTTCTTGAACTTAGATGCTTTCTTATAATATTTGCTTAGATTTAACTTTGTCATATGTGTCATTTGGGTGCTGGAAAAAACAAACATGATGAAGCATTAGACTAATTGTGTAGTTTCTTAACTGGGGAAAGCTTCTTATTGTTATTAACGATATGCACACAGAAACTCATTAAACAAAGGGTACTTTCAAGCCAATGTTGTGGTTGCCATGTGGACATAGAATCTCTGTAGCCGGCACTGAGAGCAAATGGACTCGCCTTAATTTCCAAAGGAGGGGAGAGGTAGAAGTGAACTAGGAGTCCCCCAGCTAGAGGGAGAGTTCACTAGGAGTTAAACAAAGGGTACTTTCAAGCCAATGTTGTGGTTGCCATGTGGACATAGAATCTCTGTAGCCGGCACTGAGAGCAAATGGACTTGCCTTAATTTCTAAAGGAGGGGAGAGGTAGAAGTGAACTAGGAGTCCCCCAGCTAGAGGGAGAGTTCACTAGGAGGGATTCCTTGGAAAGGGAAATGGAGAGAAGTTGCCTATGGCTGTCTTCTGTCCATTAGCCCTGCCCTGGAGCACACTTAGAGAGCAGGCTGTGGGCCTTGAAGGGGGTTAGAAACGGTGATGCACAGTCAGAGCTTTCCCTCGCCTATGCTCCTTTGTCTTAGCTGGGCATTGTCTTTCCAGGCAGTTAGGAGCACAAAGGGCTACAAATAGGCCCCAAGATGGTAGTAGATACATCTTGGTGCACTTTTTGTTTTGCTTGTTTCTCAAGACTCTATGTCGCAAGTCCTGCAAGGCAAAAAACAGAAATAAAATCCAACTTTTACCCAATCTACAGCCGGAAATCAAATGAGTAGGTGAGATGAGAGAAAATATATAAAGAGCATCAGTTTTAAGTTTGCTTTCCTGTCTGTAATTTTGAAGAACCAATATGGTGAATACTTCTCCTGCCATTATCATTTATGTCTCCCTTATTACTACACAATCACGTGAATGCAGAGAATGAGGAGGCATCTTTTAAAAGCCTTAGGAAATTTTATATGATGACCTCGATATTCATTTTCAGCCATACTGGGAAAACTCACGTTTCATGGAGTGCCCCCTAATAGTGAATGTATTAGAGCATTATGTGTTTGGCATGTATACACCTGTGTGTGTACACACATGCAAATACACACACACGCACACACTCAGCATGCACATTTCACACATGCACTTTATCCAATGTTGAAACTGCATTCTAATTAACCTTATTTTATTGCCATTTCAACTCTTAAAATCAATATCTGCTATATTAGTAGGCATAAGTACAATTCAATTTTTTAAATATTTAAGAGGAAAAAAATCACTACAAAACTAATGAAAAATGAGACCATCAGAAATAGGAAAAGCTTGGTAGTAACAGTCTAACTACATTGTCAACTCTACTTCAAGCTAGAGAATCTAAGATGGAATTGAATATAAATTAAAACATACATATATCTTCATTTCAAGTTAAGTTCTTTGAGGTTCTGACATGTTTTTAGTCAGGGTTACCTGTTCAGGTTCTCTCCTGGTGGGATTCCAGACCAAAAAGTTGGAAGTCTCAGGAAATGCACATTTTTATGAGTTTTTCAGTTCTCCAGTCTTGCAGATCCAATGACACAATCTTCTAATCTTTGGTCACTTAACCAAACAGAAGTTCCATAGGCAGAGTGCTCACATTTTGAATTGCTAATGGAAAATAATACACAGTGTCCCTCAGAATGTGCTAAACAGGATTTTTAAAAGCATTTTATTTTACAGCACTTTAGTCTTTTCAACTAGATTTCAGTGACACTATTGTGTAAATGCTATATTTGCCATAACTTACTGGTGGCTCCTGTGTTACATACAGTTTTAAATAATGCTCTAAATTGTTTGTTTTCCCAATGACAATGATAAAGTGTTCTGTAGAATTTGTAAAACGTGTTGATTGAATCTCTTGAAAATTGTGTGAATTTTTATTTCACTTGTGATACTATTTTGTAGGTATTAGTTCTAACTGTACATCTGTATGAGTCAAATGTATGTGATTGTATGTGGTATGTGTGTGTAAGTATATTGTGTATCTTATTCAAAAATCAAACTTATCCTAAAGAAAAAGGGCACATTATGACCAGCCTTAATTCATTGCCATTTTGTTTTTATTGTGATTAAAATTTGGATAGAAAATTTAAACAGAAATTATGTTTTTGTTAAAGATGGCTTTTAAAGAAAATCTTATAAGGAATATGCTTTAGAACTTATCTGAGTTCCCACAAGCAAATTGGTCAGCTTGTGGAGCCTCACATGCTTTTCAAAATTACCAAACGTCAACGAAGTTATTAACGTCATCATCCTACAAATAGTCAAAATGTACATTTATTTCTATCAGCAACAGAACAAATGCACCTCTAAAGTTGTTCTTCCCATCATAGAACCCATTTTGCTTTAGTGATAAGTTTTACATGAACAATTATTTCTCTAAACCATTGCTTTTTAAAAATTGGATCTTCTCAAGTAAGATGAACCACTTTGGCGCCATGAGAGTTATTAAAAGGCCCATGAACGTTAGATGGTTCCAGTGTGGTTCCCTTCTCAAAAAACAAGCATGCAACACTCATACATTTTTTGTCTGTCCTATATGTAGTCCAGCAATAGAAAACTCATGACTAATTCAAGGATCTGCACATGTGGTCACACTCAAAGCAAAAACACTATAATCTTTGGGTTTGGGATCTGGGTGTGGAATATTAATTAACTTCTTATTTCTTTTTCTTCTTCATCCTCAATTATTTCTTTTCAATATTTAGAGTTGTTGAGTAAAATACAGGACACTCAGGGAATTTCAAATTTTAAATAAATGATGAATTTGTTTTTAGTATATATGTTTCCCATATATTTCATCAGTTATACTGAAAAAAAATTGTTGTTTATCTGAAATTCAAGTTTAATTGGGTATGTCCTGTACTTTTTCCCCTAAATCTGTCAATCCTATCCATACTGCCTATTTTTTCCAGCTGGGCTTCCTGTAAGATCTACCTTCCTCCCTACCCCTATGTAAAGATTCCTAATGAAAATCTGTAGTCCTAATATTCTTCATGAAGGAAAATATTGGTCCATTCCAGGTCCCACAAATGCTTTATGGAGGACCAACTCAAGTATAGATGGAATAATCAAGCAAGTATCTTCATAAGATCAATGCAGCCACATTCAAAATTTCTCTTCATTGGCCTGTTGTAAGACTCAGAGTCTCCCCACTAATCCCTTAAGTAACATTTTCATGTAATTGGGACAAGCAAAAACATATCTACACATTAAAAAAGATCCTGCACAGTGGATGCACTGACTTAGTATCAGGACCTTTTTTAAAATTCAATTTTTTTTTTCTGAAAGGTAACAAACTACTCCATTACTTTTACTGCTAACACCTTACCACAATTTTTATAAGGTTAGAACTGGTCACCAATGGAATTGTACAAAATTTGACATAGGAAAGAACTCTCTTCATTGCAGGAAGAAGAGATAAGAAGAGTCTGAGGTATAGACATAGCCCTGTTGGTCCCTCCTCAGAACATTGAGGTAGAGCTGGACAGAAGGTGGGGAACATGTGAACCCTCACATGGAACTAGCACCGACAGACAGACTCACCAA